AAAACGTATCCACTGCAGATTTTTTTTTTTTTATAATTTGACTCGGAGACTAAAATGGAACACATTCCAAACGCTCTCTTCCACGTCCGTTCTGAAGGTCTGGCAACAAGGCAGAAAAAAGATTGCATCTCGTGACTTGCCGTCATGAGCTCATTTTCAAAATTACACCACGCTTTTGAGGAACAAAGCTTCACAGCTCTTCCCAGTCTCTCTGCCTGGATGAACTTAGCCCCCCTTACAGGAAAGCCCTTGGCTAAATCTTTCTTCTCCGCTGCTGGGAATTTCTTAGGAACACCTGAGTCAATTCACAGACACAAGGAAGGCTCCGACGGAGAGAGGCTGTTTTTTCACTCACGATTGTCAGGCTTCCAGGAGGTTACCGACTCAAGACTCTCGTGCAGCTAGTTTCTTCCAAGGAAGAGACATGTCTTGCATATTCCCACTTCCCAGCACTTCCTAGTAACTCGGGTCTGAATGTTTGAACTCTGTCCAGGGTAGTAAAGCTGTTTTTATAATGTAGCAACCAGAAGGTCTAATTTGCTGAAGACACTTGCTTTTGCCCATTGAATTCGTCATCTCCTGAAGGCTTGATTAGGGAAGGGGCCTGCGTTATCTTTAACATGATTTTTCCTGCACCTGCAGGGTGAGAGATGTCCTACAGTCTTGTCCTTGCAATTGCCCCTTGGAGATATCACAGGGGTATGAGTGGTGACAGCGTGTATGTTCTGGGTCACCGAGCAAGGTAAGAGGGTGGTGCAGACCGGCTTCGAACCGCGTCCGTCAGGAATGCCGCTCCGGAAGGGCCGCTGTGGAAACTCGGACACACTCTGCGGAGAAAAGGGCCAGTGGAGGAGAGAGGAGGGGGGTCCTGCCTGCACTTGCTTAACTTAGCTACAAAAAGTGATTTCCATTTTAAATTGGCTGATGGATTTACTCTGTAAAAGCCTTCATGAAAACCCAACAAAACAGTTTGTTGTTTTCAGATGGGAATATCTTTCCTCTTCTGTCTTGCAGTAGCAGGGCCACTGATGGAGGGGAGCTCCTTGAATCTTAATCAGCCTCTTCTGTTCCCCACGTATTATGATGCAAACAGGAGGGCTGCTGGGGAGAAAGACCTGCACTGGACAACCGTACCCCTGGCATCTTTCTCAAAGCTCTTAGGATTTCTTTTTTTTTTCTTTGTCCCTCCCCGAGAACCAGCAGCTCTTGTTTAACCCTTAAGTTTTTGCCTTTACGGGTCTTAACATTGCATACCAGACGTGTTTGCAATAGAAATGAGACTTTCATTAAAGGTCCTGGAGGAGGGGAGCCTCATGCAAGTATAAAAAAAAACAAGCATTAGAAAAGCCTTTTAGTTACCTTTTTTAGTGCCCCCATTAGCTTGTCATAACAAGAAAAGCTGTTTTCAGCCTAAGCGAGAATTAATGGCTCTGGAGGCTGAATAACTGATGTGTATAGAATCTCTCTCGACTATCTGCTGCTTCTGCTATTTGTCTAGTGACTAGGTGGAACAGACCAATAATCTCAAGAAAAGACATGACAGTCAGCTTCTGGGACTCCAGGTGGTTAGCAATCCGATCTGACACAGTGTCCTCCCCCGTTATTAACGTCTTGGCTTCTCAATAGACCTCCATACAAATAAAATACTGATCCGTCAAGACTACCTGTTAGATTGAAACATAACCGGCTAAACCAAAACTCTTCAGCAGATCGGCAGAGAATCGTTCCCGGGTGAAGAAGGGAAATGGAGGAAAGAGGAAGGCATGGGAGCGAGTGGAAGAATGTGCAAGACCCTTTGCATGGCAGTGCACGTGTAAAACAAGACGAGGCAAACAAACACAGACGTGCGACACAGCTGCTGCCCTGCACTGCCCGGCGGGCACGCTGGGTTGAGCCAGTTGTGACAGCGTCCCCCTGGGATCGCACTGTTGCCAGACGGGCCCTTTTGGCTTGAAAACCAGCCAAGTGCCATACAGACCAGCAGCCCTGAGACTCACACACATGCTGGTCAGTGGGCTCTGCCCACAGCTGTCCCGTTTTTAAACTTCGGTTTGGGGGGAGAAGCTAGCAGTGTGGCAGGGAGTTCTTCTGAGGAGCTGCAGAAATCATTTGCAGTTTTAGCACAGTGACACAGTGAACCTGCTCCTGGTCTCTTCCTGCCAGCTGTCGGCTGGTATACAGAGCAGACGGACTGCAAGCTTGGCTTGTTTTTTCCCTGCCTGCCTGGCTGCAGTGGAGAAGCACCTGCCGCCTGCAGCGTCTCTGTTGTTTAACCAGAAGGTGAGCTGAGCCAGAGGATGTGCGTAGCTGCAGGGTAAATATTGAAGCAGGGGGTCAGGCCTGCGTTTGCACAGGTGAGGAGGCAGACTCTCTGGAATGCCTTCTCATTTCCTAGCGCACTCCATCTTTTTCTACCACCAGCGAATTACATTCTCCAGCTGACCTGGCTGCAAATGATGGAAATTGGATAAAAACACAGAAGGAAGAGACCGTGCTGAGGCCACTACGCACCACAACTGCACCACTGCTGGGTGCACAAGTCAATGTCGGCTGCCTGTACACTCTCGCAGGGGCACCAGCGATAGAGCACGAACACCCAGGCAGCTAGGTGAAGTGTTAGACTTCAGCATCTTTCTCCAGCTCTGGAATTCAAGAGGAGAGATCGGCACGGACTGGAAACATGGATACCAAAAAGCAAATGAGAGAGCCGTTTCCCTCAAAGTAGCGGTCAGAAACCTTTCAGCTTAAAGTGCCTTTTTTGATTTAGTTGAAGGCAAGAAGTTAGGAATGCTGCCTGACCTAGACTGGGGTTTTATTTGTCTGCAAGAATTCGCAAAACCTCACTTTCTCCCATCATCAGCTAGATCATTCTGTTACCTGCTCAATACTGACCAAAAACACAAATTATAAAGCTCACCAATTATTCAGTGTTTAAGTTAGAATGACACAGAATAACCTTGAAATCCTACCGTCTTTTTACCCCCCGAGGTTGTCCGAGACATATTTTACACTCAATCTTAAACCCACTTCCCACTATCTGATTAACGAGTATTTTATATAATAGCGGTAATACTCACTTTAGATACTGGAGAGCCAGAGACTCTTTAGGAGTTAACTGAATCAATTATTAACCTCGTTAACATCGATTACAACAGTGGCCAAGTGTTTAATCTCTAAGGAGTTTGGATTCCTCCCAAAAGCCTCATCTCTAGGATGAGAAGTGAAGATATCTGAAATAAAAGAATGTCTCGACTTTCCAGCGAAACCTCAATCTCAGCACTATACTGCACACACAGTGACAGAAGGGAACCTTTTGCCACATTTACAAAAACCCAAATCTGGGCAGCAGCTCATGTGCATTAGGAGAAATTCCAACTAACTGTATAGACTGAAACAAGAAAACTGTGTTCCTGAGCCACAGGACATTCTGTGTGATCCCATAGGATTCCCAGTTAAAGTGGGAATCTACTCCCTTCATCCATCTTTCACATGAAAGGTTTAGTCCCTGTGGCAGCGAATGCATTCAAACTTACTCTTTCAAGCGTGAAGTTTTTTACCCTGAAGCATCTGACTGAAATGCTCAAGCACGCAATAGTAGTGGCGTAATGCTCTGCAGACGTGTGCTGCCTTCTGTTTCACTCTACGGGAGACCACTTTGGAGAGACATACTTTTTTAAATGGAAAAACGGGTTATTAACTGCAATCATTCCTCCCCACCTGGGCTTTCCTCACAAGATCATGTGCGCCACAATGTAGCACAGACATGCAGATACGCAATCATCATTCAACACGACATGCGAAAATGGATTTTGCAAAAACAAAACAAACAGCAAATCAAAGTAAAAAGAGACAGGCGAGACGTGAATGATCAATTTCCGGGTGGCATCCAAGTTCAAGTACTCTAATGTTGTACACTAAAAGATCTTCCCTCCCCACCTATGAAAAACACTTCAGTTTTGTCCTGTGATATAAAAGTCTAAGTCCATACACCAAACAAAAACACACCAGTCATGACAGAAAACCCAGATTTCATTTGCTGTTGGCCTCCGTTTTACATCCAATTTCTTTTCTGAAACAAATACAAGACCTAAATCTGGATCAAGTCTTTATGTACAGCAAGAGCTGCCATGTCCTCTCGCAGCCTTGACAGGAAAGCTCCTTAATTTGCTGGAAAACAAAAATTGGGAGAACAAAGAATTGAAAATGTCAGGCGCCTGCAAGGACCCCGCAACGTGTTAGCCACACGAGGAGAGGTGGCCTGCGCTGTCGTGCTGCAGCAAGTGTGCCCCTCACCGACAGTCTGATGTGATCAAGCCAACTGCACATCTCCTGGGGAAACTTTTCACAAGGGAGCAACAGACTAGAGCACTACAGCTGCCTGTCCCAGGCCTGGACAGCAGCCACCCCAGGAAGTACTCAAGCAGATGCACTGAATTCCTTCCTGACAAACTGCTGGCTACCTTTCAACATGACTCCTGTAGTGGCACACTAACATTTGCATTTGATACAATGGGAAAGGGTTGTTTTTTTTTTTAATAATTGAGTGGACTGCTGCCACAGCCCTGCATCTGCTGCTGTAAAAGCGTGCAAAAAGCAATGCACTCACATCACAAAGTCTGCAGTGAATACACACTTTTACGCAATGCTCCAGTGTCAATCAAGTGATGGAGCTTGGCAAATGTAGATTTGCACTCTGCACTAAATTAAACAGCATTAAAGTGAACAATTCAGCAGAGCCATTTTACAAAATTGTTTTGAATAAATAAAATCTCAAATACTTACTCCATGACCTGACTTATAAGGTCAATATTCAACAACCTGGTGTTCAGAATTAAAAGAATTTAGAATAAAAAGGTTCATTTAGGCATGCAGTAAAAACATGTTGTATTATAGGATAATTATCATCTAAAATGTATTACTTGGAAGGGGATTTTAAGAAGGGTGGGTTTTTGCTGCGTGTATATACATTTTTAAAAGGCACTGAGAAATAGAGACTGACATTTTTCCAAGAACGTTTTTTTCTTTAATGAGATGTTAAACAGTTGCAGATGTGCTGTAACATGCGGTCTTTTAGCAGATAAAAATCAACAGCAAAATTGCGTACATTCTGGTTTTCCAATGAAACAGAACTGAGGATTGGAGAACAATGCCACACATGAAGCCTTCCATGGGATGAATCAGCTGAGCCTTTTTCGAAAATAATAAATTGATGCCTGTGGTCCGGAGTCAGCGAGTGAGAGGAGACGGATCAACTTGCTCAGCTACTGTGCACTTGCAGGTGAAGAGTACAAGAACAAATGAGAAATGCTGCTTACTTTAACAGTCTGCTGAATTAGTGAGACTACAGATCTAGAGAGTTATATGTGCTGCACATGAAAGAAAAAATAACTCAACTTTTAAATTAACACAAGTTTTAAAAAAAGCAATAATTACATATTTACATGTGATTCACAATAAATAGAAATGTGTAACGCTTTGCCTAAAAAAACATTTCAAATACGTTATCCTTCCCTTTTATAAACGCCAGCCTCTCTTGCACAATTCTGTCTTCCTATCTTTCATGCGTTTCTCTTTCCATTGTCTTTCTTCGATCCATCTGACCCTCGCCGTCTGATTTTCCTACCCTGCCCACTGGGAAAGTGAGGCAATATCTGTTCTCCTGTCAGTTTAACTCATCCAGACTGTATCTCAATGACTCGCTGCCTGACATCCCACACTTACACTTACCCACCCCCTGCGAACTTACACTGGCCACCTGTTCACCGCCAACAAAACTCACATCTACAGGCTTCGCCGTCCTTTGAGAAATGAACTCAAGATGGAAGAGAAAAGCTCAGTGTCTATGCCACCCCATGGATATCCCCATCAATAAAATGAAATAAGTTCTCAAAGTCAAGAACGTGTGCCACCATCACACAAACGGTCATTTTGATCCTGGTGTTAACTGAATACTGCGCAAGGACATGTGTGAGTGCACACAAGGACTGCATACTGACTGCAACAGAAATCAGGTTCCCGATGTGAGCACGACCTGGGTTTTGTTAAAGCTGATTAAAACTATTCACATTAAACCAGTTTTTGTACTAGCTGAAAGACCACGTCTGGCCCTCGGTATACATTAGTTACAGTTCTCAATTTCTTTAACGTTGTGCTCTTATCTGGAGATAAGTTCTTTGTACTGTGCTTTCTCTTTTTTTTTGCTTCGAAAAAGGTTACCACAGTTAGGCACACAATGCAACGTACTTATCAGCCTCGACAAGAAAAAAAAAAAGACACGCATTTCAAATGCCCTCTCAAAACACACCGGGGTCACGGTGCAGCTCAGTCCCACTGAAAGGTAAATATTTCAGACTCTGGCCTCCACAGCCACATGTCTCTTGTAAATAGTAGCAAAGCTTTCATTTTCCCAGTCAGTGTTCAGCTTAACCCTTCCTCTGCCCGGCTCAGCCCCCCAGAGCGTCCCACAGGAAGGCGTCTTAACCTGGGGGACGGAGAGCTGGGAGCAAACGAAGCTTCCTTTGAGACGCACAGAAATACAACACAGAAAGCAGTCCCGAGTCGTAATAAATAAGGAGAAGGTCCTTCTGGTCCCGGCTGGAGGCTGGCTACACGTTGGACACCCTCTGGGCCTCCCTGGCCTGCCGCAGGCCGTACAGCCACTTGATGACGCGCGCGTTCCTCTCGATGACGGAGACGCCGTAGGGCACGCGCTCGCCAGGCGCCTCGTCCGCGGGCCGGCTGCGCTGGGAGCGCCCGCACTCCGAGCTGGGCGTGCTGACGCTGTGCAGCTTGGACACGGACACGATGTCGGAGCTGGCGCGGGCGAAGCGCTCCACGCCGATGCTCTCGATCTCCTCGGGGTCCAGGCCGCAGTAGTTGAAGAAGCGCTCCAGGTCGGCCGTGGCGCGCGAGTAGCGGTCGCTCAGGTCCGACTTGGAGCGGTGCAGCGCGGGCTGCTTGCGGGAGCCGCGCGAGCTGGCCGAGGAGAGGTGGGTGCAGGCCGGCGAGGGCGGC